TAAACCTGCCCCGAGTAAGTAACATCCCAATTTATACCAAAGGTGTACAACAGGGCTATAGACAGACCACTCAAGTTCCTCCACACCAAACTCATAAAAACCATGAATTTATAGATCTGGCTTTGTGTACAGGAACATAGAAAAGAGTCCTAACCTAAACAGCTGCCACAAGGTTAAAAGCACAAAATTATCTAGAATGTCTAAGCTGTAGCTTCAAAAGTGTCCTCTATGGAAAACACCTGAACTCAATAATTTGGAGGGGTTTCCATATCCTTTTGGCCATATAGTATATTTTACTGACAAGTGTGGATGACATTGGACACCATTTCCTACAGACCTCTATTCCCTGCACATCTATGGATCCTTTTCTAGAGTTGCTAAACAACAATAAGAAGAAAAAGCAACATAATAAACAGTTATCGTCTACAAAGTGATATAAAAAAAGAAACACAAAAAGCATTTATAGTGTGCAAAGTAACACAGCCAGTAGCATCTGATTACATTGCATCTTCTATTAGTATAAAGCTACCAGGAAAATACAATTTAATTGTGGGCTGATCACAATGGGTTAATGCATTTGGCTTTTATGAATCAGTTGAAAAGAATGGTGTATTTGAGCCTAATGCTTGTGTACTGAAAGTGTATGGCTACAGTGAACGACAGGAGATACTGGAAATAGACAGGGATAGACAGGAGACACTAAATAAAAGCCAGAATTCCACTACTTAAGATTGCTGGTGGCTTAAAAAAAGGCCAAAAAAGCATCTACAGGTAAATAATTCTAGAATCATTAACTGAAGGGGTGACAAAAAGTTGCCAGCAAACTCTTCAGAAATGTTTAGAATATCAACTTAAATGCAAGGGCAGCAATTAATGAGTCAGGGCATAACAAGCAAAAGATCATCTCTCTGGAATAAATTAAGCAATGTGACCTCTCAACCTGCATGTTTAAATGAGCAATTAAGTGCATTCTATCATCACAATATTGCCACTGTATCTTTAACAGACAGCACTGAGTTGTACTTCAATGCTGTTTACATAAATTGCCAGAGTGTCCCTACTTGTATGGATATACCTTGTTCATTTTTTTCTGTATATCTCTCAATATAGCTGGAGAAGAGAATATATTTTAAAGAAAACATCTTAAAATGAACTAGGGCAATTCACACTGATCATGTGATGAAACAAACGCATCACTGTGTTAATTTCTGTAAACGTGCAAGTGATGTGAACAATCAGTACATACTGCTATAGACAGCTGACGTTATATGTACATCTCAAGCTTGGCCAATTCTTTCCTGAGCCACCACATTGGTCCTTTAATATGACAGTAAGGGCCTGTTCACATGAGATCAGGTCCTGATCAGCAGACGTGGAGCTGCTGATGCAGTGCGTTTTTGATGCGTTTTCGGTCCGGATGCTGACAGTTCATTTTTTTTTTAGCCAAGGGGCTGTCAGTATGCAGATTCAGCCTCTGAGGTCACCTCCGCCCTCTCGGAACATCTACTTCCCTTTGTGTATGTAAAGCTGCTGATCAGACATGTATCACATATTTGCAGGCATGTTGATGGTGCTGGCTACAGCAATCTGCAGAGAACGAGCCCGCCGGAGACGTCGTTATTGGGTACACCCAATCTTGAGGCTCCGGGACTCCAAGGGTCAGTTCTGGAGTTTGTATGAGGATTTGCAAGGTCACCGGATAAAAAAAATTCCTTTACTCGTATGTCCATGGCAAGGTAATGGGCATGTTCCAAATGTTTACAGTTCATGTCGTTACCTCTACCCCAACCTGTCTGTCTATCGTTGATATCATAATAAGTGGAGCAAGAATACAATTATTTTTTTCATTAGCTGCATTGCATTGAGTTTCCGTTCCGTTTCGTGCGTTTCCGGACCAGACAAAATGTGACATGCAGTATTTTTTTCTGTCGTAAGCTGAACAGACTGCGCACGTGAGAACTGTAGCCCATAAAACACATAGGGATACATTTTGAGTGCAGCAGCGTACGGATCCGGTCAGCACACAAAACGGACGTCGTGTGAACAGGCCCTTAGGCTAACTGACTGGGAGGCTTGGTAGTTTGGGATGTTGTGGGGTCATGCTTACCTCACAAGAATAGTGAAGATTTAGATTTTACCTCTTGCTACCTATATCTACCGATCTACTTATCTTTTACACATGCAGTTTTCAATGAAGCTTAGCACTGTTTGTGCATTTCAATGCTTAGTTTGAAATAGTTCTCAATATGTGGACACTCTGCTATACCCATTTTTCACCAGTTCCCATGGTCACAGCTGCCACTGTCAAAAGCCCGGCTTCACCTCCTTTAGAATCCTGCATATCACTGTTCTCCAGTAAGGCTACCTATAGGAATGGACAAAAAAACATGGATGTGCCCCAGGATGTGGGTCTTCTTGACTGCTCAAAAGGAAAGAAACTAACTGCAGGTACCTGGAGATCCCTGCTAATACATAATGGTGCCATCTCCCAGTAGTAGTTTCAGACAAGAAGAAAGCAGTTGCTGAAAAATTACAAATAGTAGCACTACTCCTCTTATTCTCTTTTGCAACTCCTGTTCCACAAATGGGGTAATGAACTGAACTGAAAGATGAAGAGGACACCTTATAGAAAGAAACTATATGCCCTGGTCACAAACCCAGGCTTTAAAGTATAACTAATCCCTCCAACAAATGTAATATATTGCAGTTAACCAACACCTAGATGACATGGCTGCCTTTAAATTTTTTCAGTTTTCACCTGGTAATCCCGCCAGGAGCACACTTCCTGTCCTAGGCTGATAACTCTCACTTATTGTATTGCATCTATGTAGGAGCAGCATTTTCACCCTAGGCATACAAATACCTACAAATACCTTCTTATCTCTTCATCTCTAATACATTGGTTGTTTTGTTTTGCAGTTTATAGAGAATAGCTGGGAAAGCTGATAATATTGTTTGAGATTTCAGCACAATGTACAGAAAGTTACAGGAATGCATGATTTCTACCAGGATCTAGAGGTATTTTTTGATACCTGCTGCCTGAAAAAAAAAAAAAAATACCACCATCGCTTTCTTGGGGTTAGATACTTGAAAATTGTTTAGACACTGTGGCAATAAATAAACCTAAATGCAAAGTACAGCTGTGAGAGGTCTCAGATGGAAGTTCCCATTCTCCATGAAATAGGAACCGCATAGTTGACATCAGAAATATATGCTGAATGCTTTTTTTTATATATATATATTCACAAATGGCACCTCCAAATGGGAACAGGACCTTAGTGGAAAAGGGTGGCAGCTATGCAAGGCTTATCCACGCTGATTCAAATGAAAGAGAAATAAGTAAGGGCAAAAACATGTCAATACAAAAAGTAAAAAATAAATATTAGCCTAATAACAAAGCCCACAAGTGTCTTGTCTCTTTAAACTCAGGCAGTCTTGGCAGCTTCAGTGTCATTGGGACTTGAATCTGTTTCTCAGCTCTGAGGCCTCTATCTTCCTGATGTGACCCTCTTCAGGATCCCTAGCACTCAGTATCATTAGTATATCTTAGTATGAGAGTACTAATGCTTTCCAATATGCATTGTGAATGCTGAAGACCTATGCCATTGCATTGTCATGGGATCATTACTTGATTCACAAAAGTGTTTTTGTGTGTGATTTCTTTTACAGGAGAACTTGTTTCCTGTTCCTCATATTTTAAATTACAGTGAATCTGTACCAAGCATTAGTCCTCATTAGCAAAACATCAATAACAATACTAGTATTGGCACCAATACTGAGTACCCGTACTCGCCCAAATGCTCCGATACCTTCCATGATACTGGAAATTCTGGACAGAGGAAATCGGTGCCGTAGGGGAACATGGAGCCAGCTTCCCGGGCAATCAGGAAGCGGGTGGTGAGTAATGACCTGTCTCCTGGCTTCCTGATTGGCCGGGAAGCCAGCTCAATGCTGATTGGCTGGGAAGCGGGTTTCCCGGCTAATCAGAATCGAGCCGACCAAACAACATGGAGCCCGACTTCCCGGGCAATCAGGAAGCCATGCAGCATGTCATTACCCGTCGCACAGCTTCCAGATGCCCAGGAAGCCAGCTCCATGCCATCAGAAGCACCGGTAGCAGTACTCGGTATTGGCAAGTATCGAAAAGCAAAATATTGGTATTCGTACTCGATAGCGAAAATCCGGTATCAGTGCATCCCCAGTCCTTATGATGTTCCATTGTACAGCATCTTTATATACTTAAATAAAACTGAATTTGTAGCACACCTGCATGAAATCCCAATGATCTTGGTTATATAAATATATAAAAGTTTAATAGCATTTAGTCTGTTTTAGGCCCCTTTAAGAGGGGTGGTCCGATCAGGTCTGCCTGTCAGTTTTTCAGCTGGACTTGATCAGGCGCTCTATGCAAGGCAATGGGCTGCCGGGTTTAAAAGGACAAACGTCCGTTTAGACCCAGTTGGCCCCGGCTTCGGCCCGGTAAAAAAGACGGAACGGATCGTGCCGCGTGTCCGTTTACATCAGATTCCCCATAGACCAACATAGGGTCCGACACTCAGTTTTTTCCTCTATCACAAGATGGAGGAAAAAATCTTTATGGAAACTGATGTCACAGCGGTTGACAGATCCTCTCCTGATCGGCCCGTGTGGAAGGTGCCTTAAAGTAAAGTAAATAGTAATGTGCAAAAGAAAAAAAAATAAGTTTACTGGTAATTGGCATTGCTAAGAGCACCGTGATTACTGCCCCAATTTAGGAAATATAGTATGTAATATAGAGGGAGAGACGTCGGTGTTGGTGACATGCTAAGAAGGGAACCAACTTTTAAAAGCCAGATTCCAGAGTGTGTACACTCCACAAAACTATTTGTATATGACCCCCATCACTTACTGCCAGTCAGCATTACTGCATATAAGAGAGTAATGACAGGGTTTGATGGCCAAAGACCTGCATGTCAAAAGGATCTGATTACAAAGGCAGAAAAGCCTCTTCTCTTACTTACCTGAAGACTTAGTCTCTCCAGCCTCATCTCCAGGATTTTGTTCTCCTCCTCTAGCCGGCCCCGTTCAGCTTCAAGCTCCTCAATTTTCAACCTGCAGAGAAATGGAGCATGGAGAATACAATATGAAGTGACATGCAAGGAATAAAAATACACTTAGAGGTATTTTGTCCTCTGCAACATCGTCCCAGAGGACCATTCAGTTCAATATATTTTCATTGACTAAAAAGGGAAGCAAAGTCAGCTTCATAAGGTGGTTTTATATGACTACACACCAGACAACTGACAATTTACATTCAGATTCACCAAAGGACAACATTTGCCCTCATTATGTCCAATCTAGTTGTCATTGGTACACAGCAACATTGTATGTAGACAGATTAAAACATACAAAAGACTTAAATGCATGGGTAGTGATGATCAGAGAATACAAAATATATCTGTGTACACAGGACAAAAAAGCAAACTGGGGGACAGAAACAGTCATTGGAATGTATGCTCCATTCTATGGGGGGAAAAAACACCCCCACAACAAAGCTGTGATGGTGGACAATCGCACAGGTTCCTCCTGGCATGCTCCCATCTTTCTTTAACATTACTGTCCATGAATGCTTTAAAAATGTAGTTGTCAAATATATACCTTAAGATACATGGAAAAAGACAAAACAACATAAAAACACAACTGTACATTTATCAATGGGGGGGAATTTATCAAAACTGAAGCAGACAGATCTAGAGCAGTTGCCCATGGCAACCAATCGGCATCTCGCTTCAGTTTGCTCAGGTAAGATTTGAAAATGAGACGGAGAAGCTGATTGGTTACACTGCAAATCTGCTCCAGATTCTGTCTGTCCACTTTTGATAAATTCCCCCCAATGTTTCTTATGACCTTGTATAGTTTGTAATTATTGTTGTATCTGCATGGGACCAGCCATATTTACTCATTGCATTTTCAGGCTCTGTTCCTTGCTTTGCAGTGTTAAACAGTGGTTGTGCTTCACAGCTTCTAGGAGTCTCATAACCTACTGAAAACAATGCACTGCCTGTATATTAGATATCTTCGATCCACACTTGTGTAAATCCAAACAATAAACTCTTATTCGCACTGAAATAATTTAAGAGCAAATACAAAATATCAGTTGATCCTGACATGGATCTTATAAACTGATTACTTCCTATGCAGAACGATATTCCTTAGCATTATTCCCAGCCACCTCTGTGGACTACGGAACCCCTTACCAGTGTTATGGAGATGCAGAGAGAGAGAGGCCGGTGGCCTGTAGTCTTAATTTACTTCCTGTCCTAATGTGATAATGCAGATCCTCCATACAGTATGGTGAGTGAGAATTGTCACCCTTGGACAGGAAGGGTTACTGGCAGGGTCACCAAAATAAATAAAGAAAAGGTCTGAAAACTAACACAACCACTACAGCTAAGGATGATTAAGCTGCATTATATTTCATTTTTATTTTTGAGTGACTGCAGTGAAAGCCAGAGCCCCGTCTACATATCTATAGCTAACACAATAAGTAAATAGGACACATTTAATGTGTAGTTTACCTTTAAGAAATATGAAATTGTCATTAATATCTGGCAGCATATTAATGTTGTATAAAGCAAGAGAAATGAGCATAGTAGTAATAAATAACACCAGATGGGATCTTTCTATTTTAGTGTGCCAAAAGCCATCTGCAGCATAAAATATTTATTTCCAATGTATGTATTTAAGCTCTGAACAGTGTTAAAGCATATGCCGCCAATGTGATCTCTGTAAACTATGAGATGTGGTGGTTGTCGTTGAGAATGCTGAGCACCACAGTTGACTATACCACCATGAGGACCTTGGCCAAGATCCTGGCCTGGAAGCTATTATGCATTCAAAAGGGTACATGTGAAAGTAATCTGACCCCAAAACTCCTAATTAAAAAAAAAAAAATACATACCGTAGATTAAAAAAAAACAAATATGCTTGGGGCTTTGCGAGTGTGGGCATCAGGGCAGAGAAGGAGGAGGCAATGTGCGGGCGGACCAACGCTGTAATAGACACCCGCTATGAGGTCCCCTGCAAGCGCAGAACCTCATGCAGCTGAAATCATGAAAAAATTTAAGTGCCGATATTGGCGCTTAGTATCGGGGCATTTTCACGAGTACTCATACTCATGCCCAGAATCAGCACTGATAATGGTACTGGTATCGGTGAATCCCTAATATGACCACTTAGAGGTGAAGTGAATAACATTGTTTATCTCGTTAGAATGGCACCTGGAAGTGGGTAGGATATATTAGGCAGCAGAAAAAATGGGATGTGTAAGGATTTGAGTGACTTTAACAAGGGACACATTGTGATAGCAAGACAACTGGGTCAGAGCAACTCCAAAATTGTAGCTCTTGTGAGATGCTCCTAGTCTGCAGTGGTCAGGATCTACCAAACGTGGTCCAAGGAAGGAGATTGGTGAACCGGTGACAGTCATGGGCGGCCATGGCTCATTGATGCATGTGCGAAGTGAAAGCTGGCCCATGTAGGCTGATCCAATAGAAGAAAAACATGGTAACCTCATGTATTTATAACCAGCCTTTGCAGCAGGGTGCACATGGGTGTGTGGGTGTGATCCAATAGAAGAACTACTGTAGCTTAAATTGCTGAAAAAGAGCAATGGAAGAAGGTGGCCTGGTGTGATGAATCATGTTTTCTTTTACATTATGTGCATGGCTGGGTGTGTGTCACTTACCTGGGGAAGAGATGGCACCAGGATGCACTGTGGGAAGAAGCAAAACCGGTGGAGGCAGTGTGATGCTTTGGGCAATGTTCTTCAGGGAAACCTTTGACATTCATACGGATGTTACTTTAACACATACTACCTAAACATTATTGCTGACCAGGTATACCCCTTCATGGAAACAATATTCCCTGATGGCAGTAGCCCCTTTCAGCAGGATAATGCGCCCTGTCACACTGCAAAACTGGTTCAAGAATGGTTTGAGGAACACAACTAGATTGAGGTGTTGATTTGGCCTCCAAAATCTCCAGCTCTCAATCCAATCGAGCATCTGAAGGATGTGCTGGTAAAACAAGTCTGATCCATGGGGTGCCCACCTCGCAACTTACAGGACTTAAAGGATCTGCTACCGATGGCTTGGTGACAGATTCCACAGCATATATGTGCAGTCATATTCAAGGATCAGTCATAACATTATGACCACCTGCATAATACGGAGTAGGTCTTCCTTTTGCCGCCAACAAACACTGTGTTCTAACATACACAACACAGTTACTGAGAAGCAAGGCCAAGCTTGAAGAAATTAAAACATTTACTTCTGTAGAGGGGTGAGAGAGACTGCTGTTGAAGTGACCTTAACTCGAAGAACTTCCAGACTGCTCAATGACCAAAGTCTGTAGGTAGGACATGGTGAGTATTCAATTTGAGTTGATGAGGGAGTGTGGGTACAGCATATAGACTCTGGAGGTGAAGCTGGAGATTGTGTGTGTTGGGGTACGATTACAGGAAAAGACCATTGTGTGTGATGGAGGTAGGATTTCAGTACAAAAACCAATCTGTGTGCTGGGATGTGGTATCTTACTGGTGAAATACCAATGTATGTGTTGAGAACTGAGCTCACAACCAGAGCATGCTCTGTTCAGCTAATTTAAAGACTGAAGGCAAAATCCACCTATGACAAAGTGAAAGTGAAACGTACACTATCTTAGGTTGGAATAGGGATAGGCTAGGATTCAGGATTCAATCTTTAGTTTAAATGTCTCAGATTTGGGACAGATTTTAAGTAAAACCTCTACTTTCAGTAAAGAATTGATACAGCATAATTTCAGCAAAATGGCTTTCATTTCGTAATTTTATGTTATTAGAAATGACTGATTTATTCAAATAACTGCAAGGGTTAAGGGCTCATTTTGTCTAGGGAGCTAAAATAACAAAAAATATACTCACCTGAACATCGGATCCGACTGGCTGCTGAAATGGTCCCTGCAGCCTCTCTTCTCTGGTAATGTAGTGTCCCTTGGCTTCCTCACATCCAATACACTGTATTGGAAGTGATGACTCATGGGTTTTTAGACCACCAGAGCGAAGTGGGAGAGAGGTTGTGGTGGCCGGTCTAGCAGCCAACCAGATCCAATGTTTGGGTGAGTATATATTTGTTAAATTTAGCTCAATAGACAAAATGAGCCCTTAACCCTTGGAGTGCATGGGGGATGACAAGGAAATTACTTATGTGTTGATGCATTACACCCTCAGATAACTACTTGTTGATTACAGGATTCCACTTAAAGTGCAGCTTTACCCATATCTTTAAAAAAACAACAAACACACCTTTAGGCCCCGTTCACACCGGGGGCAGTTCAGCCGCGCGGATCCGCCACATGAACGGTCCCATACATTGCTCAGTGCGAACCAAACCGCCCAAACTGCTCCCTGACACTTTTTTGCAGCGCTGATCAGTGCGGTTTCCATACAGCTTTCAATAGAACCGTGGTTTTGGGCGTTTTTAATTGCGTTTCAGAGCCTAATTGCAAAAAAAAATAAATCCCAAAACCTTCCTTTTCAAATGAGCGCGGAAACCGTGCTGATCCGCAGGTGCCCTGGTGTGAATGGGCTCTGAAATGTTTAGTAATGACAAACACATACTTCTAGATCATCAGCAGCTTTCCTTTTTTTTTTCTTCTTTTATTTCCCAGTCTTCTGACAGTGACCATATTAACTAAGGGCAGATTACTAGCTCTCCATTTACTTCCTGGAACTCTGGTACATGTGACTAGGACATGTGACCATGCACATCCTCTCAGGGGAGGAAAATGCCTTTCCCTGAGTTTACAGATGAGATTTTCCAGCAATGCTCTGCTGATGTAACCTTCCCAGTATGCAACGCTTTGGCACTGACATCGTTTGTGCCAGGACTGGTCCAGGAAGTAGATGAACTCTATGTGTAAGTAAATGAAAAACAAAAGTACCTAATAATAATTATATA